CAGGTGTGACCCCTGCCCGGCCCCCCATCCCGGTGACCATCCCGCAGGTGGGGGTTGTGAACCCCATCCTGGCCAGTCCCCCGGCGCTGGGGCTGGTGGAGGTGAAGAAGGACAAGGAGGAGGAGGAGGTGTTCCAGGAGTCGGAGCGGCCCGAGATGCTGAGCGAGCAGGAGCACATGAGCATCTCCGGCAGCAGCGCCCGGCACATGGTGATGCAGAAACTGCTCCGCAAGCAGGAGGTGAGGGCAGGGGGAGCACTGACATGTGTGTGCCAGATTTGGCTGCTTAATGCAGGGGAGATCAGGAGCACACACAGAACCTCTGAGTGTGGGCTCATGGGCACTGCCAGGTACCTCTGAGCTCAGGGGACTCAGGGACACTCACAGGTCCCTCTGAGCTCAGGGGACACTGCCAGGTACCTCTGAGCTCGGTGGACTCAGGGACACCCACAGGACCTCTGAGCATGGGCTCGGGGACACTGCCAGGTACCTCTGAGCTTGGACTCAGGGACACTCCCAGGTACCTCCGAGCTCAGGGGACTCAGGGACACTCACAGGTCCCTCTGAGCTCAGGGGACACTCCCAGGGACACTTCCAGGGACACTCCCAGGTACCTCCGAGCTCAGGGGACTCAGGGACACTCCCAGGTACCTCTGGGCTCAGGGGACACTCCCAGGGACACTCACAGATACCTCGGAGCTCAGGGACACTCCCAGGGACACTCCCAAGTATCTCCAAGCTCAGGGGACACTCACAGGTACCTCTGAGTTTGGACTCAGGGACTCTCACAGGTCCCTCCGAGCTCAGGGGACTTGGGGACACTCCCAGGGACACTCCCAGGGACACTCACAGGTTCCTCTGAGCTCAGGGGACTCAGGGACACTCACAGGTCCCTCTGAGCTCAGGGGACACTCCCAGGGACACTCTCATGGACATTCCCAGGGACACTCCCAGGCACCTCTGAGCTCAGGGGACACAGGGACACTCCCAGGGACACTCCCAGGGACACTCCCAGGGACACTCCCAGGGACACCCCCAGGCACCTCTGAGCTCAGGGGACACTTCCAGGGACACTTCCAGGGACACTCCCAGGGACACCCCCAGGTACCTCTGAGCTCAGGGGACACAGGGACACTCCCAGGGACACTCCCAGGGACACCCCCAGGTACCTCTGAGCTCAGGGGACACAGGGACACTCCCAGGGACACCCCCAGGGACGCTCCCAGGGACGCTCTCATGGACACTCCCAGGTACCTCCGAGCTCAGAGGTCTCATGGACATTTCCAGGGTCACTCCCAGGTACCCCCGAGCTCAGGGGACTCGGGGACACTCCCAGGTACCTCTGAGCTCAGGGAATGCCTGGCACCAGGCCTTGCTCTTTGGGATTGATTTACTTGGGCTGCAGTGCCAGGACACGGAGAATGGTCCTGCCAGAGGGCAGGATTAGATGGGATATTATTGGGAATAAATTCTTTGTGAGGGTGGAGAGAAGCTGTGGCTGCTCCATTCCTGGAATTGTCCAAGGCTGGGCAGGGCTTGGAGCAAACTGGGATAGTGGAAGAGAACTGATGGGGTTTTTAGTCCCTCCATCCCAAACCATCCTGGGGTTCCATGATCTTCCCTGGGTCCTTTGGAGGGCTCAGAGCAGGCCCTGGGGAAGGGTCTCTGACTGAACTCTGTCCAGATTTAAATTTAAATTAATTTATTTAAATCAACCCCTGGTGGCCTTTGAGTGGCAGCTGAAGGGGTGGTACTGGCACAGTCCCAAATACCAAMTCCACCTTTTTCACACAGCATTTTGTGCTGGGGTGAGTCCAGAATCCCAGAGGAGCCCCCAGTCTGAGTGACAAAATTGGGATTGGTCACAGGTTGGACTCAATGGCCTTGGGGGTCTGCTCCCACTTTTAGTGATTCTGTGAAACCCTGAGGTGTTGATCAAACAGAATTTCATGGGAATTGCAATGAGGAAGAGGACAAAAATGAGCGATAGAAAAAGCATTAAACAGAACTATGGATTCATGGATTTTTTGGGAGTGCATCTTGGAAGGGGCTTCATAATCCTGCCTGAGCAGGGTCAGTTTGTTCCTTTGCTTTGTTCTTTTTTGACATTTCCTGAGCTTTGACAGAGAATCTAAAGYATTCTTTCCCATTTGCTAATGGGGATAATTCTGTCAGCATTCCCTAAGGAATGAGGGAGGGAAGGGTCCCTTCATTTCCCGAGGGTGCTGATGTTGAACACACCTTTGAGTTCCTGTTCCAGCAGCCAGTGTTCCTTTCCTAAA